ACATGGTGTGTAACCATGGGCAATTCTGTCTCTACCTGGAGATGGCAAAATTAATTCTTACTAGTTCTTAGAATGTTGTAGAATTGTACTAATGCTCTTGAACCCTCTGTTATTGAATGTTTATTATGTGCCTAGAACTGAGCTAAGTACTGGCAACATAATGCAGAGAACATGGATGAAGCTTTAAAAAGTGTGGTAGACATGTAAACTAATAGATTTTAGCCATGGTATATTTATAAAATGTATAAACAAAGTACAGATTGTCCCTGACTTACAATGGTTCAACTTACAATTTTTCAACTTTATGATGGTGCAAAAGTGATACGCATTCAGTAGAAACAGGTTAGGATGTTTGGTAGGTTAGGTGTATTAAATGCATTTTCAACTTACATATTTTCAACTTGCAATGGGTTTATTGGGACATAACCCCACTGTTAGTTGAGGTTATCTGTCCTACAAAAATACAGGTAGAGAAATACTAATACTATTTTGGATGAAATGGTTAACAACAAAAACTTCAAAGGCAATGATATTTGAACTGGGTATTGAAAAATGGGTAGGCGTTTGTGAGAAAGGTGATGGGCTAAAAGCATTCCAGTAAAGGCACAGCATACACAAAGACATGGAGGGGAATAGAGCGGTATGAATACGGCAAAGGCACTTGGTAAGTGGAATTGGTGGTAAGGAGTAACTGGAGATGTAAGGGAAGAGGTCAATTTGTGAATAATCTTAATTATCACGTTAAGGAGTTTGGACTTCATGACATAGACAGAACACAGCTGGGAGTCATTGGATGTTTTTAAGTGGGCGAGTAACAGGTTTAGATCAGAGTTTTAGCAATATTATTTAGCAGTACCATGGATTATCAAGCAAGAAGACTAGAAGCTAGGAACCTAGTAGGAGATGCCTACCAAAGCCCCCTTGGGAAATAGTGGGAACCTGGGGTACAACATTGGGTGCGGGATGAAGAGGAAAGCATGGGGCTAGAGACCTTACCTGACAGAAGTAACTTTCCATGAAGTTCATATTCAGACCTCCTTCTCTACATTCCCTCATAGAATTTCTTCTTAATGTTCCAGAATATTCTTGACATATCTCAGGTCCTCTTGTTTTAATTCCATCTGTTAGTTCAAATCCTGTCATTCTTTCTTCTCCTCCCAGATCTTGCATTTCTCTGCCACCATACTCATTTGTGTAAACACCTATAAGTGCAGATAAAATTAAATTAACTTTCTCTAGTGTATTGTAGACTAAAAATCAACAACTTACTTTAACGTATGGTTTCTTCATTGAAGTATGCATTTGTGAGTGAAGAAAAAAACGAAGGTGACACCTAAATACAGGAGTGATAAATATGGCATTGCATTCAAAATAATATTATTACTCAATTTAACTTGGTAATTATTGTTGTTAATTATTTGTTGGTAATTATATGTTGTGCTAGAAGAGAAGGACTGCATAGAGGTTACAAAAACCTAAGCTTTAGATATTTTGATTTTAAATTGATGAAAATTGAAGGCAAATAACCTAAATTTTAAAAGTTAAAAGGTATAAGAATGCCCCTATGTATTAGAAGCACAGGGCCTCCAGGAGAAGGCCTAATAACCATGGCTTTCAGAGAAGAAGCCATGGCTATTGGGCAAAAGGAAAGGTTTACATGGAGAATCTTGAATTTGTATTTGGATATGAGCGTTGAGTAGGAGCCTACTACAATATTCTACTGGGTTGTCAGAAAAGCCATGACATATTTTTTCTACGTTTATCGTTGCAAAAATGTGTTATGACTTTTCCTACAACGCAATAGTTAGGTGAGAAAAAACGATGGCCTGGACTATGGAAGTGCCGTGGTCAAGGGGAAGTGTTGACAGTTGGATAGGTGTCCCATGCTTTAATATTTTAAAGAACTTGATTTTAGCGACTGTGCGTTTTTCATTCTTCTGTTAGTCTGGTGCCTCTAACTGTGCTTTGTTCAAGGTTTGTGCAAAGGTTCGTAGACTTAACGAGGGAATAAATGCATCAATAAATCCTGGTGGATTTGACAAGTTTTGAGAACTGACTGGATGTCAATGAATACTGAGATACAAGAGTCAACAATGAGCTTCTGCCTATGAGGGGCGGGGATGTTGGTGTCATTAACAAAAATGGATACATAAGGAGGAGAAATAGGTTTAAAGACTAGCGTGCCCAGCCCTTTGAATAAGGTCCAGTTCTATAAGTTATAAACACTTCTATGCTTCTTACATTTTAAAGAGTTCAAAGGAGAAAAGTCATGATCACAAGTTTGAAAAAGACTAAGAGAAAAATAAGAGAATCAATAATATTTATTTTCCTTGAAAAAAAGAAAGATGATACAAGTTTTTTCAAAAATATGAAAAAGTTTTTTTTAAACAAATTGTTCTTTTTATTAGAGTGGTAATTATCCACTTACTGTGAAATTTCAATTGTTCCCTGGTTTCTGCCTGTGAACTCGTCTAGACCCCTGTTTTACGGTAAGTTGTATTGATAATCTTACCCACATGTAAAGAGAATCTCTATCACATGCACACAACCTCAGCTGAGAACTTTAAGATTTTGATAATGTTTCATCCACTAACTTTTAATTTAATAAATTGGACAAATCTTTTTAGGTCAACATTTATGCTGCTGCTGAGGTGCAGTATTTAATTTTGCCATGATAGCAGCTGAAGTCAGAGTGATTTTGAGTCATTCATGAGTTGTGCAGGTAGATTCTATCTTCAAAAGTGAGCACAGGTCTATTTTAATTGGATTATACTTTAATTATAATTATTATAGTATTTTTTTGGTAAATCACATTTGCTCGATTGGTAAAGAAACAAACAAACAACAACAAAAAAAAAACAGGGCCAAAATTGACTTGTGGATACAATCCAGTTATTTTCTCCTATTTATAGATGTCCTGATCTGATCATCTCCTAAGTACTCTCAGATGATTGAGGAAAATTTTTAAAATTTAACATATAAGAATAATAATTACTATAGGTTTTTCCTTACCATTTAGTTTTCAAATCAGTCATTTAAAAAGGAATAACAGAAACAATTTTAGAGACAAACAAGATAATTAACAAACAGTAAGGTATGCAAAGAGAGAACAAAATTCCTAGTCACTTGAGCTGTTAAATTTTTTAGAAAATTTCATACCTGAGTTGTCAATGCATTCAATCACATTTACATTATTGGCTTGTTGTATTCCTGGTATACAAACGGTGGTCAAACCCTAAAAGATAAGACACAATATTTTCCCATTTGTAATGAGTCTTTTCTTTCTGTGGTTATACATTGGGCTTGTTCTCAAATTACCTCAGATTTTCTGAAACAATACTCTTCAGGAAACTTTTGAAACCCATGTAAAACCATAACCTCATTCAGAAAGTCTTCCCTGGTTACTTCCATCTAATTCTGATGTACCTCTGATTGCTCTTCATTTTCCCCATTGGCTATCCCAGAACAAAGAATAGCATAGACTGAGCGATCACCGACATCTTGTTTCATGCGCATGAGACCGTTTAGGTGACTACCAAAGGCCATTTCTTACAGATCAGCACTTACAGGGGGGTCGGGGTGTGGTCCTTCCATTGCCCATGAATGAATTGCTCCATCTGAACATTCAGGAACAGGCTCAAAGCCAGCTCCACCACCAGAGGCACCTCCACAATCACAACAGATCAACAAAAATGGGACCACTGGTGGCGAAAGATAGGAATATTGAAATTAGCAACAGGGCCATGTTATAACAAAATAATTTGTTTTTTGTGATTAATTAAGGATCCTTAATATAACTTCATGTGATTCTAAAATTATCATGAAAGTTTCAGAAAACAAACTGAACAATGGTGAATTACCAAAATCAGGGTGAACCTCAGAATACTAGATTGCAATCAATTTTAATTTGTTACGTGGTATTCAGATTACAAATAGTGTTATACTATTAAAACAGATGAGTCTTTTGCCTGTCATTACTTAGGAAATGAGTAAAGGAGAGAAGAAAGAAAGCTGAGGAGGCCAGTCAATATGTTTGATTTTTTTGTGTGGTTTCTTCTCCTTGTCTTTTTTTTCTCCTTTCACACATGCCTGCCTTTTTCTTTCAATAATAACATCTTATTCATGCTTCAAGCAATTATCTTCTAGGAGGCTATTATTTTCCCCTACATGGATATCTTTTCTTGAAATTACTCATTCACAAATAGAGAACATTACACTGCTTAACAGTGTCTTTTTTTTATTCATCAATTGGATTTTTTCTTTTTAAAATCTATATATCATGTTGTGTGTTCACCACCCAGGGGAAAAGAGTAGTAGATGAGGGTAAAGGGGATCAAATATATTGTTATGGAAAGAGAACTGACTCTGGGTGGTGAATAATTGGATTTTTCTTATTTATCTGTGTAAGCTTCTAGTCCATAGTCTTTACCTAATATGATCTTTATAAATGATTTGGAATGAATGGATAGATGAAGGGAAGGATGTGTATTTTTTTTTTATGTGAGGAAGAAAGGAAAGAAAAAAAGAAGGCAGCAAGGTAGGGAGTAGAGAACATAGTAAGGATAGTAATAAGGGACAGAGGGAAGAAAGAAGGAAAGGAGGAAAATATTCCTGTGTTTTACTTTCTTGAAAATGTACCAGNAAATCCTTTGATAACAGGCAAAAAAAAATTATACCTCTTTTTTTAATCAAATATAAATACATGTACACAATCAATTATTACTTTATCTTTAATTCAATACAAACACATAAAAATATAGTAAGAGAAAGCCCAATTGTCCTAGATCCTTTGTTGAAAAAAACTGAAACTGTATGACATGAGATCTAATTGTCCACCAAGTTAAAAACTTAATATAGTCAATCCTTGCATTTTGTAGTGCAAAGACAGTTTATGTTAGCTTCTATAATTTCATGTTTTTTAGAAGGTCGCTCTATTTATACAAAGTATGGGCCTGATACATTGTAGGTTCAATCTTTTGATTGATTTTATTCATAAAGAACTATTTAGAAGAAATTTTACTTCTGTAAATATGACATCTTTGAATAAGTCAGGTATTAGAATGTAGTATGTAAATAATAAAAATAAATCCTTATTTTCTTCAACATATTTGGGAAAAAAATTTTATCTTGTAAAATAATCAAGTAGTCATTTTATTACAAAAGATGGTGTCAATGTCCACTACTCATAAAATCCACAAATAACTCTTCATTATGCCCGTACCAAATATATTTTTTCTAAATTTTCACATGAGAGCAATTTACATGACCATCAATTCATACACTGAATTCTCCACTTAGCTAAAAATTTCAATCTTTGCTCTAATGTTGACTTTATTTGCAATTCCAAGAATGGCTATAAAATCATGTATACCTATACATCACACACAAACACATATATTTATTACATATATATATATAATCATAACAAAGGAATTAATGTATGATACCATCGCTGGGAGGGAAATCAACATTATTCCCATTTTACAGATAGAGATATTGAGGATAGATAGATGACTTTTCTAAAGTAATATAGTAGTTTGGGGTGAAGTAGATTAGAACTCAGTTTCTCAAACATGGAATCCTACATAGTATAGTGGAAAGAATATGGACTTAATAACTAGAGAAACGTAGGTTTGAATGTCAGCTGTTCCATTTATTAGCTACGAGAACTTGAGCAGGTTACATCCTCTCTCTGACTTCAACGTATTTATCTACAATATGGGCATATAACCTAATTTGCAGGAATGCTGTGAGGAAGAAAGTAAAGCGTGTGCATGTGGCCTCAGTAAACGGAAGCTATAGGAAACTTTATGAAGACATGAGACAAATAATCACACATTCCTATGGGGACAGAATTCCTATTTCCTAGGGCTAATCTGAAGGAAAGATATAGTTAAAAAGGGATTACATTTTACTATGAAGAATACTTATTGCATGCATCACATACAATCCATGTAAGGCTTTTGCAAATTTAAAAAATAGACTCAATACATCTTGTAGCGCAGGGTGAATCCTTCACTGTTAGATCCCTAGGAGTCAGACATTTCTCCCCCTCACATCTCAGAGGAAATTTTACTGCCAGTAAATATGGTGGTACATTAATATTAGAGGGATACAGGAGAACTCTATTGACTTGGACCAAACCTGTAGTGTATTTATGTAATACACATAATAAATTTTGGTCAGCGGCCACAGTGAGATGGGAATGTGATAATTCTGCAATTATAGTAATTGAACCTTAATTTTATAAAAACACATTGGAGGAATAAAGAACTTTCAGTTTATATGATGAATATTTTTAGTGCATAATATTTGACATACAATGTTGATATGGACACATTTTTTTAAAATCCCTGTTAAATCTGCTTTAAAAAATGTTCTTCAAACATCTAAAACAAAACCTTAAGAACTTTGTTGTAAGCATAAACTAAGTTTCATATTTAGAAATTCTTTCAATTCATATGATCTGTGAAGGTGTACTGTATTGATAGAAAAGATTTTCAAGTTAAAATTCAATTCCTGTTTTCATGAAATAAGCAGAAAAACTCTATGAAAAAACTCTATATCATATATAATTATGAAACACAGCAATTTTTATTCTTTCTCTTAAGTGTGTGAAATGTTAACATAATTTTAATATTAATATTTTGAAAAAGACCAAGAAAACAAAAATATTTAGGATAATTATACCATACCTTAATAACTTTTAAGATCCCCACATTTGTTCTTTCATTCATTTCTATTTCAAACCAATTTCCCTCATTTCCAGAGATAAAGAAAATTACTGCCATCCAATTAGCTGTGTACTCCTCATCCAAATCAATTACTCTAATCTGAAGCAAATCTGAATATAGAGCATTTTCTTCAATTTCTATGGAATACTGAAACAAGAAGAAAGAAAGTCTTAACAAACTGTGTGAGTGAGAGAAGAACTATACTAGGCTTATACTGAATGCTTATAGTTTACTCATTATTTAGAAAAGGGATCTGTGTTTATAGTCTCATTTTTCAGTGTTCAAATATTTTTTCCCCTATGCATTACATAAACAAGCACAAGACAAAGTGTGCGTTTACATGTGGTTTGTATATGACTAAAGATAGCATATACATATATAAATAGAATTGTTTAAACAAGTTTTAGAATGTGGTGAATTTAAAGTTATTAATTTCAAAGACAAATACTTACTGAAGGCTTTTCCATGTATGGGATGTTATCATTGACATCCAGGATTTTAATACTGCATTCACACTCTGCTGACATACCATCTGACCCGCCATCGCGGTCTGAGCCTCTTACAGCAAGAGAATACTGGCCATATTGCTACAAACACACATTACAAACAATATCACAGTTGACATAGACAGTCCTTATTCTGTCTGATGCAAAGTTCTTTTAAAATGTTGGTTGAACATTTACATAAATTTATGGTGAAAATAGGGGTAACACAGATTATTAAAAATCCACAAATGTCACATGAATCAGTATGGAAGTTACCACTTCTAATCCCAAAAAATGTTTATCCAGCCTCTTCAAACAAGCAAGTTTCTGTAAAGGCCTCCTTCATTATTATATGCCCAGGATTTGAAAATGTTTATAACAGGTAAGTCACATCAAAACAATCAGGAGGAGAGAGATTAAGGTTTACCAGGGATTTTGGCATGAAAATTCCATACCTTAAATAATCAGCCTTGAGTGTACCAGAAGAATAGAGTTACCAAATGGTTTGCATTGCTTGGGGGTGGCAGGTTGTGGCAGTGGAATTATCGATGATCTATCTCTTTAATTCTACTAAGTGATGTTTAAATTTTTAGACTGGTAAAAACTATGAATCCTTTCCCAGACAAATGCATATTGCAGCCTCATTCAAAATTGTAGATATAATCTGAGAGGATTTGTAGTTAGAGATATCTTGAGGTCTCTCCATGGAAACCAGGTTAAGAATGTCTGCTCTGGTGGCTTCCCAGTGACTGCAAAGTTCTTTTACTTTTTAGAGCTCTTCACCATTAAAACTCTTTTGACATTAAAGGAATTTCACTGGACTCTTTAAGAAAGCTTGAGAAAGAGCTAAACAGTCAATTTCCTCTGATGGTAATTTTCAAACAAACAAAAAGGCATAGGTAATCTAGAAACTAATGACATTTAGATCATTAAAGAGTGTAAAAATAATCTGATTTATTCTAAACCTAGGAGTCATTAACAGAGAGATTGTCATTTTTAAATAACTATAATGATTAAAAGAAAATTTAATTCAGTATCAATTAGAAAATAAAACTTCCTCATTTATATCCCTAAAATATACACAGGTTTGCTATATTCTATCAATATTAAAAAATAACAAAATAGATATTTTTAAATTAATTTGTGGGACCACATGGCATGATAGAAATCATGTAATGCTGATTCTAATTTGCTAACAATCACTAATTTCTTATTTGTAAATGAAAAGATGGATGAGGATGTTACTTAATTTCTATCTATCATTCTGATCCTGTGATTCATTTCCCAAAGTAATCAGCAGGCTGTCAGTAGGTGTGACATAGAACGAAAAAAGATATTTGTTGTCAAATGAGCTTAGAATACACTGGGTTAAAGAATGATAAACATGTTTCTTAGCCTGCAAAAATTCTTGGAGCTTCTACCATGTTCACATGCATTTTGACTCACCAAGATGGAAGATATAATAGCAAATGTTTCTTAAATTTATTTCAGTATAAAACTCACTTTTTAAAATGGAACTTTTGCTTCTACCTTATGTAATTTTTATGTGCTCTCAGAATATAGTTTTCTTAATTTGAGGCAAATCCTAAGTAAGATTAAATGAAAAGGGACAGTGTAAAAGTATTCAGGGAATCCCCATTTTTTCATTTTAAAGATTTCTTATGTCATTACCATTATGTGAAAAGGTTATGCAATTAAAATTTTAAAATAGTTTCCTTTTCCTTTTTCTTTCTTCATTATTTCTACTTTTAAAATCAGTTCCAATAAGACTAACAACAAACACATTCAAAGAAAAGAAATTACCTCTCTGTCTAGAAAATTATTCATTGTTCGGATTTCTCCAGTGTATCTGTTGATAATAAACATGGGTGAATCAGAAGGTTCCTGGCTTATGATCTTGAAGGCTATTTTTGAGTTCAAATTATTTGGTTCATCTGCGTCAGTAGCATTGAGTCTCATCACCAGTGTATCTAAAAATCAAGGAAAATTGATTGCAAGTGGACAGTTCGCATTTTTGTTATTGTATAGTATGTTGTTTTTCCAACAAGGTGCTAAGATTAGTTGGCCCATATAATGTGCACGCTACCATTTTTCCTTTCTACTTCTTCAACATATTAATATCTTAGCTTATTTCTATACCTTTGCATTCACAAAAATACCACACTGATAGAAACCAAAGAAATATTTTATTCTGCCTTTCCATTTCTTATTCTGGTATAATTATTATTTTTATTTTTTTTTATCTTTTTAGGGCTGCTGTGGTGAGGCAGAATGAAATTAAGGCCAGACCAACCCTTTCCCAACTATAACACTTTCTAGCTACATGATCTTGGCCTCAGTTTCTACATCTGTAAAGGGGATGATAATAGTACTGTCCTCATTGAGTTCATGAGAGAATTAAACAGCTTAATGAGAGAAAATTATATAGAGTTCATACTAAATAATGCAGTCTCTCTCTCTCTCTCTCTCTCTCTCTCTCTCTCTCTCTCTCTCTCTCTCTCTCTCT